ATTTACATTAGCACACCTCTCCACCTCCAGACTTCTGTCAGGGTATAGCTTTTATGCTGTTAAGGGTTATAATTTACATTGTTTTATAAATATTATTAATTCTGATCTTATCATAGAAATAGTATTTGTTACAGATGCAAGAAAACAGAAATTAATCTTATGTCACCAAAATCATGCTATGCAAAATAGAGTATTCTAAGCATCACAGTCAAATGAATTCTCTATTCTTTTTTTTTTTTTTTGAATTCTCTATTCTTGAACTCCACCAAATCTTCAAAATCACGCCACATCTTAGTTTACTTCTTGTTTGAATCCTGGATTTTGAGGCAGTTCTATACATAATATTACTGGTTGCAAGCAGTGGAAGCTGATTAACTTAACAAATGTGTTGGAACGATATAGCTAACTCTCAAAACCAAAGGAAAAGCTAGGAGTGAATCAGGTACAGATTTTCAGGGTATTAGACTATAAAACTAGAAGGAGATCCCGCTCATTTTTAGAAAAGAGCCCGTAACTGGCCTATTCTGGATCACAAGCTAGGATGGGGAGGGGAGGGAACTTGATTGACACCCCCATCTAGGTTGCATGCAACGGTGAAGGGTAGTTCTCAAAAATAAAATCAAGTTGCTGTCACCAGATCAAGCTGAGTAGACCAGACAACAGTGTTTATCACATACAATACATACAATAATGCTTGTCACATTTTAATTAGTAAATAATTGGGGGAGTTATCTGTTTGACGTTGTCCTTTCCCACTAGACATTGTTCCACAAGGAGAGGTTACATATATTATTTATTTTCTTAATCCACATGCCTAGCACAGCACATGGCACTTATTAAATATTTGTTGAATACTGTTTAAAAAAAAAGAAGTCCCAAGGATCTTTGGGACATGCTTCGTAGACTGCCTGTATTCGTTTAACTTTACTAGCAAATATTTTCAGATGGCTGAATTGCAATACTAAAGAAGGGATTACTCTTTCCAATGGTATAATATCATGGAGGAATACACCTTAAGTTTTCTGTTACAAGTATTGCCTTTTGAAAGAAAAGGACCTCTCAAAACTTCCAGATAGTGGCAGAATCCCATGATCTTACATGTTGCCTAAACAACTAATGGTTTTAATTGTTCAGTTTCAACTGAAGAACTTATCCAAAGAACTGGTTGGCAATTTGAATGCTAATTTTTCATTCAGGATCTCACAACCTGTGGATCTCTGCAGCCAGGATCAACATAGTAATATTTAAGACCTGATCTAATTTCTCCTTTGTAAAGCTCCCCATTCTCCCAAGGAATGAATCCTTTCCCCCACTCTTCTCTATGCCACTTCACCCACTTCATCACAACCGAAGGAGAGTTATTTGTGGAGGCACAGTGGTGAAGAATCTGCCTGCTAATCCAAGATTAATGTTAGATCCCTGGGTGAGGAAGATCCCTGGGAGTAGGAAAGACAAACCACTCCAATATTCTTGCCTGGAAAGTTCCATGGACAGAGGAGCCTGGCAGGCTACAGTCCGTGTGTCCAAAGTCAAACATAACTGAGCAGGCATGCACATTTGTTTATGTACCTGCCTCTCCATCTAAACTACAAGTCCTATAAAAGAAGAAAATGTGTATGATTCACCTTTGGATCTCCAGTGCCTACCAAACAGGAAGCATTTATTAAGTATTTATTGAATCTAAGGGCTTCCTCGATAGCTCAGCAGGTAAAGAATCTGCCTACAATGCAAAAGACACAGGAGATTTGGGTTCCATCCCTGGGTCAGAAGGATCCCCTGGATCCCCTGGCAACCCACTCCAGTATTCTTGCCTGGAAAAATGCCATGGAGCCTGGTGGACTACAGTCCACAAGGGCTGTAAAGAGTTCGACATGACTGAGCAGCTAAGGGCACAGGGAAGCGTCCTGCAGCCTGCGTGATTCAGCAAAAACACCCAAACCACTGAATCTCACCAATCAGTCTAAGTACAGTCTTTGACAAAGAAGGATGAGTTCAAAGAAATACCAGGCCAGACTCGGAAGACAGAAGAGTTTATCTTCATCTAAAATAATAAGAGCAGAAAAAGAAAAGAAGGAATGGAGGGAGGGAGAGAAGGAGGGAGGGAAGGAAGGAAGCAGAGTGTTCGTGCTCCAAGCTGTAGAGACGTTTTAAGTTATTTTTCAAGTGAACCCATTTATGGCTTGATTATAGGGCTTTAATATCTCTTAATCATACGGTAACAAATGAAACAATTAAGAATTCAGAAATGATCCTTTCGAGAGTTTTCATTCTTATATATCAATCAAGGAGAATGTTAATGGAGAGGGTTCAGTGGGAGTCAGTAATTCCTTACCAATATCAGAAATTTAGTTTCACTTTCAGAGGCTGTTGGTGGCCACACTTGCGAAATCAAAACTGTAATTCATCTCCAGACAATAACTAATTATTACTAATTACTAAGAAATAAGTCAACAAAGATATTTTCCTGTTTACATTCTTATCGGATTGTATCAGAACCATCTGTTTTCAAGTTCGTTGTTGCCGGGGTTTTTTTAATCCCCAGGGATAAATACTCCACATTGTTCTCAGAATATATGCATGCAAAACTGCCTCTTGCTACACAGCTGCAACATTCACTGAAACATTTGGGGAAGGGAAAAAACACATATTCTTCTGGGAAAGAAAATGAAAAGTAGACGATCTCATTGAATTTACTCTATCTTCAAACAAGAATATGCAGGGGTCTGTGCCATTTCTAACCACCATGTCCTCATTCGAATGGGTAACGATTGATTTTGCTAAAAGTACCTAATGTGGAATTTTAGACACTAAAATAACTCTAACCTAGAGAATACAGTAAAAGTCTCCACTAACACAGAGTCTACAAATTTAGAACAATATGTGATCTCTTTGTTCTGTTGTTCATCAGTGGCTATCTCCTGTGATGCGAGCAATAAATTTCCCTTCTTTGAAGAGAAGTATAATTTCTCTATTGCCAAGGAAGCAAGAGTGGGAGATTTAAACTGTGGTACTGACAGAGTTGCGGCATGGCTTTGTTCTAGCAATTAACCTTTGGTGTCTCAGTTACTTCATCTGTAAAATAGGGATGAGGGCTTTGCACAGGTGTGTGATGCCTGGACTAATTAGCATAATTATCATTATTGATGGGAAACTAATGTTGGTCACTGATTTCACACCTCATGTTAACACCCGGGAATCACTTTATCTCCTCTACATTGAATCATTTTTTGAGGAGTCTGTAAAAAAAAAAAGATAAATGATGACAATAGCCAAAAACAGAGGCAGGGACAACACAGGTAAAATGAACCATCTCCATGTAGGTGCAGAGCCTTCATGGATTACCTTTTGGTCTTTTGTATTTATCACTTAGATGTTTTTTTAAACTTAGACTGAGCATGTAAACTATGAAAATACAAGGAAACTTTTCAAGGCCCACACTGAACTGGTAAACTGCACTGCAGCAAAAGGCTTTCCAGTTCACTGGCAGGTAAATTACGACAGTACTAGAGTGGTTTAGGCTTGAGCCATACAAAGTAATCAAAGTCAAGTAAAAGTATGCACTGAAGACATTGCTCATTGAACATCTAATGCTGGTAGCTCAGCTGGTAAAGAATCCGCCTGCAATGCAGCAGACCCCGGTTAGATTCCTGGCTCTGGCAGACCCCCTGGAGAAGGGACAGGCTGCCCACTCCAGTATTCTTGGCCTTCCCTGGTGGTTCAGATGGTAAAGAATATGCCTGCGATGTGGGAAACCTGGGTTTGATCCCTGGATTGGGAAGATCCCCTGGAGGAGGGCATGGCAACCCACCCCAGTATTCTTGCCTGGAGAATCCCCTTGGACAGAGGAGCCTGGTGGGCTACAGTCCATGGGGTTGCAAGTCAGACGCGACTGAGAGCACAGCACCCTCACTTCCATGTACGTATCTGCCCTGCAAGAACCACAGCTCAAGTAGCCAGGGACCAGGGCAGACAACAAGTACAAGATATGCCAACTTCATCAGCGCTGGGCACAGTAGGGCATCCTTGCACCAGAGTGACTCACAAGTCAATGAGAGAGACAGAGACCAGAAAGTGGGGCTCTCTCCCTGCTCATTTAGGACTCTTCAGTGCTCGGTTTCCTAAGTCAGGGGGAAATATCGGCTTTTAAAAAATCACACACGCTGCTACACTTAAAACGGATAACCAACAAGGACCTCCTGTAGAGCGCATGGAACTCAGTTCAACCTCATGCGGCAGACTGGATGGGAGGGGAGTTCGGAGGAGAATGCATACATGTATGTGTATGGCTGAGTCCCTTCACTGTTCCCCTGAAACTATCACAACGTTATTAATAGGCTATACCCCAATACAAAATAAGTTTGTTTGTTTTTTAAGTTACCTTCACTTGTTAGCAAAAATGGCAATGAACCATAAAGGGAAACATAAAAGATGCAAGTGCTCCTATCATGGGTTCTCAGTACTGTAACCTTTGCATCCTTTAGAGGAGACATGTGATACTTGCAGATTCAAAACCTGCCCAGGCCTTCTCATACTCAGAGATTTTCCTCCCAGGAGTTCACTCTTTTCTTGAACTGAGTAGACATCAAGCCTTAATATCTAATGCTTCCCAAGAAATTAGCCTCTTGACAAGTCGTCAGCACTGAGGACTGTCCCTTTCCTCCATGTTTGTCTCAAAATTACAGGCAACAACTTCCAAATGGAAACAGAGCTGTTAGCACGTGCATGTGATCCTCACCTATTACACGAAATGCAACAATTAGCATTTCTAGCTGAATTGAAACTGCTAACACAACTTCTCTCTGTCCTACACCATTAAACTTGATTAGAAATCCCTTCACGATTAACATTCATCTCGCTGTATCGTGCTTGAAGGTTAATAGTATCCACCATCTCCTGAGAGAGGGGGAGGGGAGGTATATGTGCAGAGGAGAAAGGCCGCCGGGAGAGGCAATTCCCGCTTCCGTCCACTAGAGGGGGGGCTCCGCGGGGCCGGCGGGAGGATGGCAGAGACACCGACACACAGCATCCCGTCCTGCTGGCCTGCTCTTTACTTAGAAAGAAGCAACATGAGTATTCATCGTTCTCTGCTTCTCACCCCTGTCGATTTTAACTTCTTATAAAGCCCCTTCAGAAATGCCGGATGGCCGTGCTGGCTTGGGAGCGGGGGTGTGTGGAATCAACCAGCATCTTAAAACAATATCCAGTCTAATTCTTCTAAATCAACACTGCGTGAGAAAAATACATCTGTATGAACAGATCCTAAGTTTAAAACCCTCATAGATTCTGTAGCAACATGTGTACAATGCAGATGTAGCTATGGAGGGGGCAGTGGGTGTCAGTTCTCGGGGAGAACACCTCCATTGTATGTAACGCATAAAGAAATGTTCCCAGCCCTTAGCACACCGGCTGTTTCTGCTTACGGGGCTGAGTTATCCATGAAATGCAGTAGGACATTTTGTACTAAGTAGAGTACTTGATGGACTTTTTTAGATCCAGTCTCCCATGCAGGTTTGTATAATTAAGGAAGAAACAGGCATTTTACTAATGAAAGACAAACCTTCAATTTTCCCCTCGTCAAAATATGTTATGTTCTAAGAAAGAAGGGGTGGGGAAAGAGCCTGTTTAGAGTGGACTCCACCTAGATGGCAAGGCAAAATGTAATACCTTTTTCTATCTGTAATAGCGTTCAGTGCAGCGAACTCTTTTTCTTGTTACAGTACAGTAAATGGGGTGTTTAATTTGGGATTCAATGTAGTCCACTGTCAAGGTGCAGCAGTTTTATTACAGAAATACAATTTTATTGGAGGCTGAAGATTTAATTTCCACCTTACGTCGAGAGCCATAAACGGTATGCCTATTTTACATTTTGCATAGCATTTGGTATGTGTAATTTCTCGTCTAATTTTAGAGTTTGAAAAAGTGGGAGAGTCACAATATGTAGATTCAAATTCTTCAACATTTCAGCCAGAAATGCCATTTTAAAATGAGCAATTTTCTGTTTTTTAGTCATGGATTTGAAATTACTCCTTTCCTCCCGATTGAATTCTGCACCACATCCTGTCCAGTCCTTCCTAATGAGGTGAGCCACAAAGTTACCCAAGGAACACCTTTGGGTTGGAACAAATGCTTTCTTTGTTTAAATCTGTCTACTGGTTGGTATTGTACTTAAAAGTAAGATGATCGGGTGGTATGGATAGTTTGCCTTCTATTCTGCTTCCGTCTGTCAGGGTCACACGTTATGTATGTTCTGATGGATGCATTTGGAACAAAATAACTTGTAAATATGTTGGAAGGACTGAATTTGAAAGAAACAAAAAAATGTTAACTGTAAAGCTATATCGACATTGAAATCCAAATTTGAGGGACTGTGTTATTGTTCTGCATCAAATATATTTATTGACACACACACACACCCCCTCACACACACACACACTCTCACACACACACGCATGCACGTGCGCACACACACCCCTCATGTACACACACACGTGCGTGCACACACACTCACACACACACCCCCCTCACGTACACACACACACATTGATGGACACACACACCCCTCTATTGACACACACACACCTCACGTACACACACACACCCCTCACGTACACACACACACACACACACACCCCCCTCACGTAGATGCTGCCTTTCCATCTGTTTGCCCTTTGCTGCATTAGTTCTCATCAACACTTAATACCTTCTCTTTACCACCAGGTGGAGCCCTTTGTTTATGGACATCTGTCCATTTCCTTTTTCTCAAAGATGCTACCAGATAAATAGCTCCGGAGTTAAAATACTGTTGCAAACACGAAAATTTAACACCCACCGATAAAAAAGTAAGGCTTTTTTCAGACATTGGTATAATAAACGTTGCCGTAAGAGTCCTCTTGCTACTAGATTTAATAGCTTTACACAGTCCTATTTACAATTTCTCCACACCAAACAGAGAAATAATACTGTTGTGTGTGCAATAAACAGTGATGCTGCAGGACTATTTTATGTAGCACCATTGTTTTTATAATCTCAAATGTTTGGAAATTTCAAATGGCGAAAAAAAAAATATGCTATGCCCTTCTGTTTTTCTCAGTCTTAAAAATATACACCTCATTAAGAAGAAAATGTTTTCCTTCAGACAAAAGAGAGTGGTGGGTGATTCAGCTGTAGGCAATACAGAGCAATGTCAAATTCTTCTCTCAGTCAAATTTATCTATCTTCGATTTGAGGTCCAGTAAAAGGTAAGTCAAAATCTATCTTACCTTTGATTCTGTTTAGGAACTAGTTCATAATGGATACTAGAAGCAAAGCTTAATTATTATGTTGTTCAATTATTTGAATATTTTTATTTTTAAGAAATTAATCAAAGATCTTTTCATGAACAAAAGGCAGAAAAAGGTAAGAAAAATTTAGAAACCTGATTTGCATGTGCAAATAACTGTGGAATGAGCTCACCTAAACTTGCTTGCCAATGACCTCAACCTTGATCTGGAAAGATCATTTATTCACAAGTAAAACATTCACATTCTCTATGTTCACACTGTCTTGGATCTTTTCTCAAGGTAGATTACTAACTGCAACGTTAGTCTATGCATAATATCTGCATTTATCAACACCATGGAGTTGTGTGTTTAACTGAAAAATCATTTCTGTTACATTTTTAAAATTTTAACCAGGATTTACTCTCTTTGTATTATATGTATCTAAAATTTTGCTTGAGCATCTGCAGAGCAGTAAGTAGAGGAAGATCTGTGTATGCTTTATTGAATCCGTGCCTGAGCGTGGGAAATCTGGCTTTTCTCTCTTACACGAACTGGTTCTGTGATCTGAGATGGGAGGCTGTCTGCAAAGAAGCCCTCATACAACAAAATGCTGGAACCACCATTTTGCTGTCTGCTTGCACACAATGAAATGGTGGCATAGAAAACAGTTAACACATTGTGTCCAAGAGAGTTGTCTGTGAAAGTATTCTACTCTCTGATCCAAATATTGAGCTTTTAAAAATGTCATTACTAAGGGGCTAAAGATATTCATCTTCTTCAAATATATAAAACCTGTGTGGGAGGGTGGGTGGATGTTATACTGGAAGCATCTGCTGTGTACATTCAACTGAACGATGGAAAGGACTCGTCAAAAATGCACACTTATTTAGCAAACTGGAAAAAAAGCCCAGATCCTGAGAACTGCTTCTGACAGCTCACAAAAGCTGTAACGGTGAATTTGGCCTTGATGCCTCCTTTCATTTTAGCATTACGGCATGCAAATGACAGTGAGGAAATTTAAAGGAGTTTTTTTTCCTTTTTTAAAAAAAAATGTCCTGTAAAAATTAAAAACAGGCCCACATTTGACTCTCACGTGGAAGACCCCACACTTATTTTTTTAGGGGAGCAAAAAAAAAACAAAACAAGGACCCAGGGACCCTTCCTCTCCCACTTCTGCTCTTATTTTTAATCATTAAAAATGCTGCTTTCGCTGCATTTAAGTGTGGAAATTCTCATTTTTCTGCAATGCTTCAGACTTCCATAGACTCCTTAGAGACACAGTGAGGAGCTAACCACACAGGGGAAATAGGGATTTTCGTGGTTAAAAACACTGCAGTGTTTGGTAATTTTCCACAAGGAGTCAAAGTTACGAGTAGCTTTTTTTCTTTTAAACATAACTTGAGCACTTAGTGTAGAGTTGCAGGTTTGAATTTTTTTTAACTCATTAAAAGGTCTTACAAAATTTAAGTTGTCTCCTTTTAATAAATATTTCCAGTATTTTCAAGTGTATAATAGGTAGGTCACACACAGAGAGACAATTATAAAAGGCTACTGTCTATCAGTAGAATATAGCCCTGGAGGACCCACCAGCAGGTTATGTAATATGTGACATAGACCACCAGGGGCTGAACTGAAACCACTAATACTTTTTTCATGGGATCATTAGTTAGAGTGAAACAAGGTACCTAAGTGAAAAGATGAGGAGGTTGACCCGGCTTGTTAATTTGCATGCCTTCACTTTCATTCTTTTTTGCACTGAATTAAATGTGAACATTCAATTTTATTATTTAAACATATTGTCACCCAGATATAGCACGCTACTTTTCATATTTTTAACAATTCATCATGTAGTATATTGTATATACATCATGTAGTATATTGATCACTATTTACAGTTGGTTTTCAATAAATACAAAAACTCTTGAGAAAAATGCAATTTAAAGCTAAAGAGAAGTTATTAATTTGTCGCCCCTGCTGTACTTTAGGAGGTAAAATCAGTTATTTTGTTTTGATATTTAGATCTTAAATTTAAATCTGCCTCCAACCAAGATGAGTGGGTCCGGGGCTCACGGAGCCAGCTTGCCTGTGTTCTTGACCTTGCCTTGACAGTCACTGGGAAGAGCATGTTCCCTCTGTAACAGCTACTCTACAGTTTTGGAGATGTGTCTAGACTTTTACGTGCACTACCGTCAGTTGCCCTATGTACCTTAAATCAATCCAATCCAATAAATTTAGGATTGTGGTTGAGAAATAAATGTCATGTCAGTAACCATCAACAAGATATCAGAAGAAAGAGTATGTAATCGTTTAGTCCAAAAATTAAGTTTCATGTTTTTAATTGGTGTCATATCCTGTCTTAAGTCTATGGTGCTTAAATCAAAGGCCACCACATTAACCTGGAAAGGAAACATAATAACAACCCCTTTCATCCCCTGACTCAAATGTTTCTTTGCTCAACCCTCATTTTTGTTAAAAACACTTTCAGGCAAAGACAACAGGAAACAGTAAACATGGCAACACCATGAAAACAATTTTCTGATGCACTATTTCTCTTCGTGTTCAAAGAGTGAGTTGTACAGAGTGCAGAGGAAACTGCTGTATCATTAAACCCTATGCTGACGAAAACAGCCACTCTTCCAGCAAAGGGGATACCCCTCCTCATTTCATAAATCTTGTTTCCAACTAGACTGAAGCCAGGACTTGACTCTCGCTCACATCAAGAAACTGGTGAATCATGGTAATACCTTCAAAGGGAATCAGGAGTAGCCAACAACTACTTCAAGGGCAGGGATGCAGCCAGATGTCTGGCTAATCCCCATCATGACTGCAGATGGTCTGGG